AAAAAAAAAAAAAAAAAAAAAAAAAAAGCAATTCACTTAGCAGCTCAATATTGACAGCTGGAGGTCCAAACCCACCTCTCCTCCCCAGTTATAAGAAAAGAATGGTCTCCAGAAGACTCCTATGCTCCCACCCAGCCTTGCAGGAGGCTGGTGAAGCGTGTAGCCTTCTCACCACTCAGTGGAAGCACACAAGGAGAAAGGGCCAGGGAAGAACTAGGCCACTGCTCCACCATCCCATGCCAGCTTCCCCAGTTCTCTTCTTTGTCTGTCAGACTCTGGGTCACATTTGGGATTACTAGAGTCCTTTTACTTGGATCTGCAAGATTTCTGGAGATAGGGTTTGGCAACAGAGATGGAGGGGAGGCTGAAGTGCACACTGCTTCTCTCCCAGCGTGGGTCCTCACTGGTCCACCTTGTGCCTGGTGCAGGCTCCGGGCTGGCCACCAGTGTGTGCCGGAAGGTCACAGGCCAGCTTACCAGTGCCATCGCCCAGCAGGAGGATGTGGCTGTGCAGCTGGAAGCCCTGGACATACTGTCAGACATGCTGAGCAGGTAAGGGGTGGGAGATTTGGATGAACACAGCCAGCTCCTCCCAGGGGCACCTTATCCCTCAGTCACCTTGCCTAAAAATGCTCCATGATCACCTCTGAACAAGCTCTAGGAAGTGATGTGACCAGCCCAAAGTCACACCATCAGCAAAACCTTCCACCCTGAGCATCTGCTCAGTAGTCCAAGGATGTGGGGTTGACAGAGGCAGGGAGTTGGGGTGATCCTTAGTGGAGGGAGGACAGAGGAATATGATGGGCAATGCCACAGCAGGAACAGTGACCTGCAACACCAGCTTCACCATGACCTCCTTGAGCACAGGTCCCAGGGCATAGCCCTGTCTCTAGTAGGTGGAAAGAGAAACACACAGATGAGCCCAGGAAAGAGAGAGGTCTGTGCTCTCAGCCTCAGGAGGGACGACCGTGTCCAAGGCTGCAGGAGGAAACAGAGCTCTGAGGCCCACAGAGGCAGGGTCGGAGCCTCTCAAGCTCTCAGGGCATCAAGGGGGCAGAGGCACGACCCACGGAAAGTAGCTGTCAAGCCCCGGGGCTCTGGCAGGAAGCATGGCTGGATGGGCACTGACGCTCCGGCCTCCCGTAGGCTGGGCGCCCCGCTGGGCTCCTTCCATGCCAGCTTGCTGCACTGCCTACTGCCTCAGCTGAGCAGCCCGCGCTTGGCCGTGCGCAAGCGGGCGGTCGTCGCGCTCGGACACCTGGCGGCTACCTGCAGCGCCGACCTCTTCGCGGAGCTCGCCAACCACCTGCTGGAGAGGCTGCCTGGCCCGCGCACGCCCGCAGGCGCTGCCGGGCTCCACACTCTGGTGCAGTGCGTGGGCAGCGTGGGCCGCCAGGCCGGACACCGGCTCGGTAAGGGGCAGGCGGACCCGGACCAGGAGGCCAGGAACGAAGGGGGCCGACCCCACGGAGCGCAAGCGCTCTGGCTCCGGGGCGGGGCCGGGGACAGAGGGACGCGAATGCAGAGCTTGGGGGCGTGATCACTGACTGGGGTAGGACAGACTGCGGGGTGGAGGGAGGGGTGAGGCGGGGCCACTGCGAGAAGGGACGGAAGAT